CGGCCTCTCCGATCGCAGCACGGTAAGGCCCGCCCGCCCCCTGCCCCCGGCCCGCCCCACCGCGCTCCCCGGGCGGCGGGCGCGGCGCTCGGCGGCGGGCGCGGGGGAATTGTCGCCGGCGAGACCGGCGCCATCTTAGGTCGGAGCGCGGCCTGGCAGCCCCGAGCGAGACCCCGCGCCCTGAGGGCTCCCCCGGGCCGCCCGTTGGTCCCGGGGGGCTCTGCCCGCGGGGGCGGCCCGGGCAAGGCTCGCTCCGCCCGGCCCCGGCCGTGCAGGGCCCGCCGCGGCCCCGGGCATTGGCGGCGAGCGCGGGGCTGCCGGCCAGGCCTCCTCCCAGCCCGCCGCGTCTCTGCCGTGCGGCCTCTCCCGAACCCGCGCCGGCAGCCCGAGGGCCCCGCGGTCACCCGGCGCGGGGGGCGGGACGCGGGGCGGGCGGGCGGGAGCGGCAGCTGCTCCACTGCCCTCGGGACTCGGCTGCTCCCCCGGCCTGGCACCGCCGCGGCTCGGCGGTGTGAGCTGCTGGCGGGCTGGCACAGCCCGTATTGCCCTTCCCTAGGCGGAGCTTGTGCCTTCTCCTGGCAGGGAGGGCAGCGCTGGCTGCTGCGGTTTGGGTTCGAGGCAAGTTGTTTTACGCTGTGGCTTTTTACAACGTGCAGGTGCAGTTTCATCTTGGTCATTGTTTCTTCGCTGCTGAAACAAATGCAGCGCTCAGTAATAGCCTAGTTTGCAGAGCTGGCGCTGCTGTGGATTGCACACCCTTCGATAACTAATATGGTGCAAATTCATGTGCCTGTGTGGGAAGTCGTCTGAGAAATACAACGTGGTGCCTATTGTATAATCTATGTTGTAAATAAGACAACTTCCCTGGGCATTTGAAGTGACCCTTGTTAAAGTGGAGGAAAATATCGAGTAACTCACAGATAGTGGCCGTGTGAGGAGTGGCTGAGGTCACTTGCTCTGTCCAACCTGAAGAGGAGACTGAGGGGAGACCCCGTGGAAGCCTCCAACATCCTCTTGAGAGAAAGAGGAAGGGCAGACACTGATCTCTTCTCTCTGGTGACCAGTGGTAGGACCCAATGAATGGCCTGAAGTTGTGTCAGGGGAGGTTTAGGTTGGCTGTTAGGAAAAGGTGCTCCACCAAAAGAGTGTTTGGGCACTAAGAGGCTTCCCAGGGATGTGGTCACAGCACCAAGTCTGCCAGAGTTCCAGAAGAGTTTGGACAATGCTCTGAAGCACGTCTGGGTTGTGCAGGGCTAAGAGCTGAACTTTATGATCCATGTGGGTCTCTTCCAACTCAGAATATTCTACGATTTTGTAATACTCTAATGGAAAGATGACCAGGCTGGTCTGAAAACTTCCAGGTTAATGTAAATGTCCTCACTCTTTAAACTCACTACCAGTTTCATATCAATTATATGACTTTGGTTGTTTTAAGCTAATCCAGAGAAGTATTGAGTATTGGAAGGCTCAGTTAAGCTAAACGGTGGAACAGATGAATTGCACCTGAAGTAATACATGGGGCATTTGCCATGATTTGTACTACTGATTTCTGTCCATCTTCAAGGCACTCTTCTACAGTCAATGAGACATAATTGCTTTGATAAAGATGTCCTAATTAGTACTTTTAAAACAGTTATTTCATCAGAAGTTTATTGCTGTTTTGTGCAATGATTTCACATTTTTTCTCTGTCTTGTGTCAAGTTGTTAGTTCATCACTTTTGTAGTAATTAAAATAGCCTTTCAAGGCTCCCCTTAGTTTTTGATGGACAGTTGCCTTTTAAAACAGTATCTTGGTATAGTCTAATGATATTTTTAAAATGTTTTAAAGAACTTGTTCACATTTTTGGCACTTTAACCTACAGTAATGATTTGAACACTTCCTTTGAGTATATATATGTAGCATTCATTGGAGTTTTGGACCTCTCAGATCCATGGACAACCCTTAAGGAAATATATGTACAAATGTGTCTATGTTTATGCATATTAAAAATGAGGAAGATGAAGTCTCTTGTCTTTATTGTTCTTATACTGGTGCCTGCATCACCACTGGGAAGTGTTTGAGAAGAGTGGGGGAAAGATTCACTGTTGGTTTTGCCTTTGAGAGCAACTGCCAGCAGGATTCCTAGAATGCATTTTCTGCATTAAATAAGCCAAACATTTGGAAGCTACTTGTGCTCTAAAAATGGATATAGATATTTTCTTTGGCAGTGGAGACCATTTGCAGGAGCTGTTCCTGCACACCTCCCCTAATCAAATCCATTTCCCCTTACTGCAGTTTTGATTGTTCAGGCCACAGATTTTTTGACCTCTCAGTTGTTAGATAGAACTGTTAGTGGGCCAGGTTATTTTTAACCTGCCCTAGTTCAAGTCAGAGTCCTGTACAAAGTTGTGCTAGCACAACTGAGGCAGCAGGGAAGGAGCAGGGTGGGAACTCATTAGGCTGGCTTTCTTCCCAGGAAAAAAAAGTCAGTGAAAGCTTGGCTTCAAATTATAGCATTAAAGTTTAAAAAAAAAAAGAAGAAAAAAAAAAAAGGTTAGAAGATGTGAAATTAATCTTGATACTTGCCTTTTAAAAGCTGCCCTGCATTTTGATTCACCTTTGAGAATACCTTAATGTGTACCTCCTGATTCATAAAATGAAATGTAAGGTGTCACCAACTGGTGTCACGTTCTAAAAGCCCATGCATATTTTATCAAATTACTCTTAACTATATTTAAGAAAAATTTCAGCTGCATTATAGTGTAGATGAGATTATCACATGTCTCTTGCTAGGACTTGCTAACCTACAGGTTGTTTGTGCCTATTTTGTGTTTTAATATAAATTTTAGCATTGTATGTACACATTTTATAATTTATTACTTTTTTCCCCCCAGGAGGTCAAATAAAACTACATTTTTAAAATATAAACACAGCTCATTTATGTTGTCAGTTCCATAAAAGAAGTCCCTGAAGTAATCCTTCCTGTTGTCTTGAAACCTGTTAAACTTTGTGTTATTAATAAAAGAGGTGTTCTTAAGAGTGTCTTTCTGCAGAGAAAGAAAAATTAGGGAGTTAGGCTTGATTCTCTGTGCCAGACCTGGCACACGCCCTGTGTCATCTCTGCCAAGTGGAAATTTGCTTCATAATCTTCCTCTTTTCCCCGTACAAGAGCGTGCTTTAGTGTCCTTTTCTCTTCTTTGCTAGCACCATGGCTAACTCCAAGAAGCTGCTGGAGGAAGGAAAGGAGCACAGCTTTGCTACTTTATTGCCAGACTTCCCGTGTGCCAACACCAGCAGCCCCTTCTCAAACAGAGGATGATTCTCTCTGCTCCCTTGTGAGGAGCTGTTACAGACTAATTGTTTCCACAGTCCATCACCAAATCTACCAGCTCATTACTCCTGGCCTGAAATTGTCTTCTCTCAGATATTAGACAGTTTTCTCACTGTGTCTGTGCTGAAGACTTAAGTTTTCAAACTGTTGATGGATAGTGAGGGGTGTTCTTACTTTTGCAGAAGTATACTTTCAAACAAGAAACTCGTTCTAATGTTTAATATATATGTTGCTCTTGAAATGTTTTTGGAAAGGAGAAAACAATGGGAAATTGTACAGAAAAATGTGTTGAATAAACACCCTCTTCATCTTACAAAATAAATAGATTAGGAACTATCAGCTCATGATATGAATGTAATCTCGATTTTGTCACCTTTTGTGAGACTTTGCTGACATAATTGTGTACACAGTGCTGGTCTGATGCCCTGGCTGTTGGTTTTAGGGAGTTAAAGGATCAGAGAACTATCATTGCATAGTAGTAGAAAGTGAAGCTTTGTCAGGTAAATATTGCCTCAGCACAAGAGTGAGGGAAATATTGGTAATGGGTTTTGTTGGGAGCAGGCTGGTAGTAAGACTAGAAATATTCTTGTATTGATTATGAGCTTATAAAAGGAACTGTTGCTTGGATATTCCTCACTTTTTATCCGAGCAGTCTGGTGATGAATTTCATGTGCTTTACTGCTCATTAATTAGAAAGAATTCTTGACAGAGTCACTCTTGGGTTCCTCATGCAAAACTTCTGTTGTTTCCCTCTGATTTACAGAAGAATGGAGACACTGCGTTTTGTGAAGCTCCATGTCTTAGGAGAAGCAAACACTGTCGTTATTGGATCCTGATCCTGGTTGTGGCTGAGACAGCCCTGTGGCTGTATGAAATTAGAAATGATCTTATTAGAAATTAGATTATTGATACTGTGTGTAAAGAAATAGCAAAGTTTCCTATTTATTGTGTTACTCAGAAATACTTTCAAAATTGTGGTAGAAATATGTGAAAAGGAAGACAGAAACTTTATTGGCCATCAAAGTTTATTTAAAAAACAAATAAACCCAATTGTCATAAGAGATGTGAAGGTAATTTGTTAAATTCCAAAAGCTACTTATTTTTCATTACTGTTTTTGTACATGGCTTTTTTTACTGCAAGAGGAAGTCTCCAAGCATGAGGGACTCAGTCTAATGGCATCCATGCAGAATTTTTATTAAGTCCTACTTGATAATGAAAATACTGCAGTGCCTTGTGGGTATGGCTTGGGGTTTTTGCTGTTGCAGAGTTTTTTTGTTAGTGCTTTATTTGTTTTTGTTAATGTTTTGTGGATTTGAGGGAATTTTGTGTAAATTTTCTTGCGTTTTAAAGGGAATGTGACTATATGGGAAATCCTAGGAAAATCCTACAGAATTTGGGAGGTTGTGGGATTGGTTGGGGTTTTGGGTTTTTGTGTTGGGGTTTTTAAGATGCAAAGAGAACAAAGCTGTAGTCAGGGTTTCAGTAACTCAATTGTGCCAGGTAAATTATGTACTTTGTAGTGGGCCCTTGACATTTCTTGTGAATCACTGACTTGGGATGGGAATGTTTTTTGAAAGGTCCTGATACTGTGGTGTCCGTGGCTTCCTCTGATAGTTACTGGTGTGCTATACAAAAGCAGCTTAAATTATGTGGAGGATATCTTTGGTCTTTTCTCTTTAATACAAAGATGAGAATTCAAGAAATTATCAAAATGGTGATGTGGCATCAATCCTCGAAGATCTCCTGTATCAGATCAGCCTGTACAGAACATGGAGAGGGGGGAGACCCTTGTGTGGGAATTACTGACAAGTGCAGTGTTCTTTACTGACCAGTGAAACACTTCATGAAAGTACTGAATGTTTTGGTATGTGTGATTTTATTAATTTTTTCCCCCCTTTTTTTTTTACTGTCTAGTTCCAAGATGGCAGAATTATTTATGGAATGTGAAGAAGAGGAGCTGGAACCATGGCAAAAGACAGTGACAGAAGTGGAGGAGGATGATGATGACGACGACGATGATGATGAGCCAATCTTTGTGGGGGAAATCACAAGCTCGAAGCCAGCTACTACATGTAAGATAACTTGTTCGTAATTTAAAACAGATATTTCAAGATACAGAAAGTTAAAACTTAGTTAGAAAAGATAGAATTTTTAACAGTAAGACTTAAGAAATTTTACATCTTAAAGCTGTACATGTCTGTCATACTGAAAATCACAATTTTTAAGACATTCTGTCCTAAAACCCAGGTTATGCACAGTTCTCTTTACCTCTAACCTTAATTCTCTGGAGTCAAAAGAAGGCCATTTGAAGGTTTTAGCATTAACAACATAGTTTTAAAGTCAATATATATGATGCTGAAGCCATGCATGCAATTGCTCTCAGTATAGTTGGTATTTAGTTACATACTTGAAAGTGTCTCCTCACTTAAAGAATGTGCATGAATTTAAGTTTTCGTGTTACAGTCACTTTTTTTCTTCTCTACCCCACATTTTGTATGTTGGTGGACACCATTCTGACAAAACCTGGGTAACTGTCTTTCATAAAAGGACAGTCTGGAGAAGGGATTAATGTGAAAATGCTACAAGCCTGTCTGGGAAGTAGGAGACATTTATTAATCAATTTACTCATCCCTTGTAAAATAGAGAGATTTCTTCATCAAGTTCTGTAGTTTTCTCCTAATGCAGGCAGTGCAGGGGGTGAGGTTAGGTGGTTATGATGGCAGCAGATGTGTCAGGATTCCATGTTTGTCTATGCTTGGGCTTTGGCAGGTAAGTAAAGAAGAAGTGCTTTTTATTACCTTAATTAATTTTAGTAATGAAACATTTTGATTTCTGTGTGCATCCGTCTGGTAGTCAGTTGTTAAGAGGTGTGACCTAAGGTTTCTCTGGCAGTCAAATGCTCAAGACTGTGCCTGGTGAGGTTTGCTGCTCTCAGTTTGTGCCTCATCTCTCCTATCCAAGATTCCCATAGTTGTTTTCTGAAGGTGCCTAGTTTGCAGCGGGGAATCTCAAGACAGAACGTTAAACTAGGCTGTCAGTCACACTCTGCTGCTTGGATTTTGGAGCTGTAGTAACTTTCCAGTCATTTTAGCTGGCAGTGTTCATCTTGCAACTTTACTTTATTGCTCACGGGGATGGTTTGTTGCTTTTACACTGGTTTGAAAAGGTGGAAAATTACTTTGTAAATATTAAGGAAATACTGAGGATGATATTAAAGGTCTCTCACCTGAAAATAGTTTTCGAGGGTGAAGATTTTAAAATTATTCTCCATATTTTTAAAAAAATGGAAGAATATTTAAAAATTATTTTAATATGTTTTCTGCAGTTACAAGCTTCTAGAAAGACTGAGAGGTACCCTTACTGTTTTCTGGAAGGTCCAGGGACCTCTGGACTGCTGTTTGTATTTGGCAGTAGGTCATGGCATAGGACAACTATTAAGGCACTGGGCGTATGGTTGGATCAACAAATATGCCAAGATTCATTGCAGTTGTTTTAGTCTCACGATTTTTTTGTAGTCAAAGGATAGATATAGTTCAGGTGCAAACTATAGTTTTGATATGCTTCTGTGAACTTTAAGGGCTTTGATAAAAGCTAGAGACTTAAAATGTTTGCATCTTACTCTGGTGCTGTCCATGCTCGGTCCTGACACAAGTGAAATCACTTATGGTATAACTTTTTACTTTATCTCTTTTCCTTCCCTATCCTCAACTTTTCTCTTTGTAATCTTCTACTTCTCTATCAAAAACAGCTATGGAAGAATGACCTCAGTTCTTCTCTGGCTTGTAAGTAGTACCACCTGGCAGCAGTCAGGCTCCAGTTCGTTACCGGCGACAGGCGAGACACTGTGAACTCCACTTGGCTTATCACTGCTTAGCTTGTACCCGAGAAAGCTCCTGTCTGATCAGATGAAAAACTGATGACAAATGGAAACTCACGTGTAGTTCTTAATGTTTTTGAAAGTATGCAGTGCATTGCATTTTCTTAACCTTTTCCTGATGGTGCAGTTACCAGTTTTTGCACAGACTGGTGTGGATAACTTGAAGGAAATAGTTAAAAACCCAACTTTGACCTGCTGGCACAGTGTCATGTAGAATCAAGTGCCCCTTCTGATGTACTGGAGGATTGTTTTGACTGAGATGAAAAGTAATTCACACTTTGTTCCCTGTATTAATTCCTGCAACTGCTCGTTTTTCCTACATTACTCCTCTTTCTTGCTTTCTTTTTCATAATGCTACAAACCTGTAATTTGTTACTACTTTACAATGTTACTCTGTGTGTCAGCTTTCTTCTGCTTCAGTGCTCTCTTACCTAAGCAGGACAAATAACACTTTGATGGAAGAGGGAAAACGGCACATCAGGTCTATGATGAATCAGTTGAGTCATGTAACAGTAGTTTACAATTTCAAATAACTGACTTCCTTAAACGTTCTTTTTCAAAGCAGTAAAATCTGCCTTTGTATTTTAGGATGTGAATTGTGTACACATCACTGTCTGGCTATACTTTGTGAGACATAATTTTTAGGATAGCTTTTCTTTTGGAGGAAGATGATGCTTTAGTTTCATTTAACTCTAGAATTCAAATGTGAGGTGTAAGTGTATTAACGATCACAAAATGTGTGTGTCAAGCTAAATCCTGAACACATTTAATCCTTGTTCGTAGTTACTGCTGTGTTGAAGTAAAAATAGTATTACTATTAGGGGATCAAATTTTGTTCTATCTTAAAAAATGCAAACCTGTTTGAATCTGTTGGTTGCAGCTGCTTTTTATTAGTATGATCTAAATGCAGGTGGCAGGTTGAGAGCTGGGATCTGAGCTCCACTGCTATTAGGTTTACTTATCAACTGGAGAAGTGTGTAATAATGAGCTATTGCTGGTGGAAACAGCCTCAAGGTTGTTAAACACAATGTGTAGATACTTTTAAGATCTATTGTTTGAAAACCCGATGTAATTTGACCCCGGTTTGAGAAGTAACTTCAAATGGTGGTGGTTAGGTACTGGAGAATCAATCCCATTTCGTATGCATATTTTCACAGGTCAGAGCAAGAAACTTGTCAGCAACACTAACGGAGAATCTGGGAGTAGAAAAATGTATTGATTTGATAAATATTTTTGTAACTTTCTGGGCTGATTGGAAACCCCAGACTAAGACATAAAAAGCCGGGAAATATCAGTGGCATTAGTTAGGGAGTGAACATCAAATTTGAAAAATTCCCTGTGTTTTTGATGAGCCAGAGCTCTGGACACAGATTACCATGCAGGATAGGTAAGGAAATTAGTTCTCTTGTAATGCAATTCCAGCATGACTCCTTTGATCGCTGATCTGTTGCTTTTCCTTTCACATTTGAAAACGGATATCATGAAGTCTAGAACCAAGTTTGTAAGTGCTTATTTTTCTGTTAATACAGAAGCAGATTGGGTCATTACTGGTTTAGGGAAAATACTTCTTTAGTGTAGCAGTTCCTTGTATTTGGGGAACTTATATGTAAGAGAGAGAGAAGTAAATAAATGCTCTATAATTAGCAAAGTTAAATGTTAATGAATTTATTTGTTGGTTTGTACTCTTATTTGTGTGTTGTCTCCAAGAAAATAAAAACTGAGCTTCTTAAGTGAACTAGCTTAACTGAAGAAGAGTGGAAGAACATACCTTAATTTGTAAAAATTATACTTTATTTTGCCAGGTATTTGTGTTAGGAATAGTATTCTAATTAATAAGTCAAATTTTGGTTGGCTTGATTAGTGGATATGAATGCTACTTTTAATCTGAAAAGCAATGAAGCTATTAATTCATTTACAATTAAGATAAATGTAACTTTTGACAGATGTATTGAACAGAGTCAACCTCAGCTCACCACGAAGGGGGATACAGAATGGTGCACCCTGTAGAGGTACTTTATTGTCCTAATATGGTAATTAAAAGCAAAAAAAATCCACAACACTTATGAAACATTTGCCTGCAAAATTACCCAAAGATAACTTTGGAATTCTTTGCCACAGGTGCCGTTCCTTCCTTCAAGACTGAGGGTCACCATTATGTGAGTGCTGCCCCCAGTGCCGTGCCCATCCCGTCGGTGTTCCAGACTGCCCCCAGACCCACCAGCAGCTCGGGAGCAGGGCAGCCCCTGGCTATGGCAGGGAATGTGTCAGCAGCCTCACAAACACTGCAGAGACCTGTGGCTGGATGTTTATCAACGCAGCAGCTGCCTGGGGCAAGTTCTGGAATAACACAGCCTGTAACCATTCCAGTGACAGCACAGCCAGCATCAAGAAATATCCCAGTTCCTGCAGTGGCTCAGCCTGTGTCCAGGCCAGAGACTGGAACAGCACAGCCTGTGATGCTCAATCAGGTAAATCTTTAGTCACTTAAAGGGTACCATTACTTCAGAATAAATGACTGAAGAACAACCTGACTCAGTCTAGTGATTTGAAGACCTGGACTAGGTTATAGAGTGGCCTTATGTAAAGCCATAAAGATTCTAGAAGTATTACCTTGCACTAGTAAATTAAAATGTGTATTTGGAAATACTGATTTGCCAGACTCAAAAATGATAGCTTTAGTCACAGTAAAATGACATTAAATGAAAATCCCAGACATCAGAGAAATTAGTACTGTTTAGGTTCTTTATGTTGTTTGGAAAAATGATGGAAATTCATTCTCTAAATTCTGCAGATTTCTCAGAGATGGATCCTCTGTACTGATAAATGAATTTAATTTTTAAATAGCTTGCATTTGGTGTGTCCACCTGGTTTTTACAGTACCTTGTTTGGCCTTTTTGCTCCTTAAGAGAATGCTGCAGTGGTAGCTCCTTGAAGGGGTTTGCATTTTCATTTGTGTGGCAGTTGTAATGAAGCGCTACTATGGTATGGAGGGTTTAAGCAACCAAAAGTTGCAGAACCAGCAGGTGAAACAATTTGGCAATATTTGTATTGCTTGAAAAGCCCAAGGGGATTACTCTCCTGGATCATGTACCATTGATCTTCCTGGATTGCCATGGAACCTTAGAGAGTTGATGTGAGGGAGGTGTTAGGTGCTGGTTTTGTTGCCTTATCTGTTGGACATATGTGAGAGAGAAAGAATGAGGGTTAAAATTCCCTATCTGTATGAGATAAACTATGATGTGATACCTTTATAATAATTTTTTATATATTATAATTTTTATAATATTATAATAATTTATAAATTTATAATTTATACAGAAACTGTTTAGACCATATGCCTGTAATATTGGCTTCTATTGTCAGGTTAAAATGAAGCCTGACAGTGGCACCATCTCCATTGGCAATGCAAGTACACATACCTGTGGCTGTCCCAGCTGTCAGTCTTGTGGTGTAAATAAAAATCATGCAGCCTAATGGATTCTGCATTTGCTGAACAGGGCAGTCAGTCTGAATGAACATGGTTAATTAGACCATTAAAAGATGGGAATTGGCTCTTCTTCTTAAGACCTGTGGCTAAATCATGGCTGATGGGTGGCTGTATTTTATGAAGAACAGAATAAAAGCGATGCAATGTAACATTGCCTATCAACTGGCTGGCTGGATCTCTCGCAAATTCATTAGGAAAGAACTCGTGCTTTCCAATTTTGAGCCTTCAGCAGTTTATTGGTAGCTTGCAGAGAGAAATGGTGGATGTGGGGAAGCAGCTTAGCTAAATCAGTTTGTCACTGTACATAAGAAACCCTAAAAACTGATGTAATCCACAGTCCAGATCTCAGTAAGACATCCAAGTTGCTTTTTCAGTCCTCTATGTCTATATAAATCAGGACAGGTTCATACAGAAAACTCTGCTACTTCACATGATATATACTTATCTTTCAAGTCTGTGAACTGTATAAAAGTTTATTTATGGCGTAGTAAGCTTTATGAAATCCTTCAAAGGAGTGCTAGAATGTCTTGCAGAATCTTCACTGCCAAGGAAAGGTCCCTCCTCTGTTTCCTTCACACATACATGCTCATGTTTTTGTTGTAACAGATAAAGCTGCTCGGGACCCCTTCATTGTCTGTATGAGAAATTCTTACAGTAAACACACCTGGGAAAGCTGAACTTCTCCATGCAGTGTGTGTGTAAGCTGGATATAATTCCTCAGGACAGGGATTTCCTTTAAAGAAACTCTACACACAGGACTTCTTTTTGTGACAGTTCTTTCTTCTTTGTTGAATTTAGTTGTGTCAGAAATGAGTCTTTAGTTCAGTTTTTGTAGTGTTTCTTTGATAAAATCTGCAGGTTGTTGTTCTTTTTGAAGAAGTTGCAGCCCAAAATATGACATGGACAAGCTTCTCTAAACATGGTCTTCCTATCCAGGTTAGACAGATGTGCTTTAGAAAGGAATGCATCCTTTTCTGGGATATGCAGTGCATACAGATTCTGTGGTCTCTTAAAACTTCCACTGTTGAAATTATTGTGTTTTCTGTTTGGTTTCTTTCCTTGCTTAAGACAGGCTGAAAGTGAATCTTCCATCTCTTCAGCTTAACTTTTCTAGATGCAGAACTGTATTTCCAGTTTCAGCTTTAGAATAATTTTTCTTGGGTTTGTATTGTTCTTGCCACTTGATTATATTACCCTTTTTAAGGAGAAAGAGGCTTGTTTGCTGTGATTTTTTCTTAGGACAGTACTTATAGTTTAGCTTCTCGGGCAAAGTTCAATGATTTTTAATTTACTCCTGTCACATTCTGTCCTTTGCTGGTTTGAGAGTCATATGTGTACTGCTTGTATTTTGGTTCATGTCCTTGGGTTGAATTGTCTTCATTCAAGAGCTCCTTAGGATTTTTTTTTTATTCCTCACCCCCTCCCCATCTAGTGTTTAATTCACTTGGGGCTGCTTTTTTAAAATGGTGATTTTCTGTCTTGGCTTTCTGTGTTATTTTTTTTATTATTTTCAGAAATCCTTACAAAATATACTTTACATAAAAGAAAACAAAAAACTTAGTGACCCTGGGAATTAGTGCTCTTCCCAATCAACCTGCTGGAGATACCTCTTACTTTCATTAAAGCTTGACCACTTAGAATTTGAATTTAACATCACCTTGCTTTGCAAAACTTCTGCGAATCTGTGCTACCTCTGAGTTCTGGTTTTTGATCTTTTAAAATGCAGCTACCTGTTATGCAAGAGGAACAGGCAGATACCTGAGTTTAGGGTGAAGGAAGAAAGTATTATTTTTTGTTAAAGGAAGAAAGTATTATTTTTTGTTAAAACCAATTCAATTATAATTTGAAACATCATTGGACTTTTTTAACAAAAGCACTTACAAATTAAATTAGCAAATCCAAAAGATTTGTAATACTTCATAAAAGAGACTTTCCCAGGTCATAGCATTTTTTTTTACTATTCTGATACACAGCTGTGAATAAATTCACAAGCACTGATAAGAGTTGCAAACTTATCAGTGTCAAACTATTTTGGGGGACTTGTAATGGACTTGATTTTCATCTGAGTACTTATGAGTACTTTTAAGCAATCATGTTTTTAAAATAAACCCTTTGAAGCCTGCAAGTAAAAAAATATTAAACCTCCAATTTCTTTTCCCTCTTGAAAATACCTTATTAGGATTATGTTATGGAGTCTCTACCCGATGCACCAGATAATACATCTGATCTACTGTTTGGTGTGAGTCAGAACTCGGGAGTTCCACAGTACCAGACTGGGCCAGCAGTGAATGTAACAGGTGGGTGTAACTGCAGTTGTTGATAAAAGAATCAACGTAACGTCATGTCACTGTAGTGCAGATCTTTGGGTTATAACTTCAAATAGGATTCCTGGAACATGATATAGCTGGTTTTTTCTTCCCCCTGTGGGTAACGCTGTGTAATGTTTGATGAAATAAACTCTGTTTTGGTGCTTTAAACTGACTGTAATATCAAGAGATGTCATCTTATAATGCTCTTATAATTCATCTTATACATCTTATAATGGGAAAAGGCACTGCCAAATCCACTGTAATTTTATTGACAGGTAAAAGTTTGTGTCATCACTCTTTGGCTGGTGGGAATGGGAGTGACTGTAAAGAAGAGAGGGGCTGTGAACAGCACCTGAAGAGATGAATCTGCTGGGGGGACACTCTGGGATGATGATCTGGTTTCCTGACTGCTATATGCAGGACTTGGAGTAGATAGGATCAAAAGGATCCTTCCTGAAAAGGAGAGGAAAGGAAAGAGTATGTAGTTAGACAACTAAAATACTGGTTTTCAACGAGCTAAATTGCATTTCAGCAGTAAAGGGTTAACCTGCTTAAACTAAAAAGCACCTTTTGTGTGTGTGTGTCACAGCAGAGAAGGAGATTTGAAGTATGCAGTGTATTCTTAAACAGGCTGTGACCTGGGACTTCCCTCCTCTTTTTTGAAGGATTGTACTTCTGTAATAACTGCCCTATCTCATTGTTGTGTGTGTTAGTTCTGGAGGACAATCCCCGCTGATGGTCCCATACAGTAACAGATCATATACAGAGAATGGCCTGACTGGCCACACTGAGAAGTTAGGTAGGACAGAGTGAGAGCTGGTTTATTCTTCATGCGATGATTTTGCATTTTTAGTTTAGGCATTCAGTCCAGGTACACTACTGACCTTCACTGATAGGTATTTTCTTGCTGGGTCCAGCTATTTTGTTAGTCTCACTGTTGTCTTACTGGGTTAAATAGCTTGTTGTTAAGTAAGCAGAGGGTTTGTTTCTTGAAAATGGTTCAGTATTCTAACCCTTGTTCTCCAAAGAACAGCTCTTAAAGTTTAATTGTTTGTGGGGTTTTTTTGTTTTCTTTTTCTTTAACTTAGGGGACTTGCTTGCATGCTTGAAAATTAATTATTAATCTATTACTGAGAAAAAAGCATCAAGGACTGTAATTCAAAACATCTTATATGTACCATACTTGGTCTGTGTTTGTTTCTGTTAGATGAAAATAGGGTTTAAAAGTTAAAATAAAATATTTTTAATTGTGGGTTGGAGCATTAACATTTTTATGACACAGAAGGAAAATTTAAGATACATTTGACTTTGCAAGAAGGAAGTGTCTGTGTATTTAGTGGTTTGGCTTACATGGAGAGCTCACGTAAGGTGCTCATGTTCATGTTTGTGTGTGCCAGAGCCTGCTTTGCCTGTATTGATGCTGTGCTTCCCTAATTCCTGTGCAGCACTGCAGGCACCACACATTCTGGAATACGGTATTTAAAAGGAGAGTCCCTTTGGGAACTGGCCTGTGATATTTGCAGGACAATTTAACTTATGCACGTGGATCATTAAAGATGTTCTTTAGCTTGATGTAGCAGAAATGTTTATTGCTGAGATCGGAGCAGGGAAAGGCTGGTTAATAGGTGGTGGTGGTAGAGCATTGGTAGCTCTTCTCTGCAGGTCAGGTGGCACTGGGGACGTGTGTAAAATGTGGCTTTCTGGGAATATTTTGAGAACTGTTCTCCCGCAGACTTTCCCCACGTGGAGGAACCAGAGAAAACCGTAACCAGAAGCACTGCTGGGTGGAGTTGACTGGACAGTGTCCATGGGTGCACAGCAGTTGGTTAATGGGAGATGTTGGTGCAGACAATGCACCAGAGGCCTGAAGCAATTTGGCTTTGCTGTCCCTCTTGTGTTTCCACAGTACATTCAGTGCTTTTATTGTAGGTTTCTGAGTCTAATGCCTTTCTCCATCATTCATAAGATGAGGCCCAGCCCTCGCAGATGCTCAGAGCAGCATCAAGGACTTCACAGTAGTGTTCTAAGGTGTGTTTAGGAACCTTCAGCAAGGTGATGCTGCAGCCAGTGTACTTTGATCCTTCTTACCATCACTTGGATGTGGTACACACTAATAATGTGTGTATGAGCACAGCCACCTGTTTGATAACAGCTACAAAATATCCACTAAGTGACCACACAGGAATTATTTGGCTGCTGCTTTTCCCTGCTGTCCTGAGCACTGGGAGTCCCTGTGGCCTGCTGGATAGAGGACTGGTCAAATTACTCTGGAATATGGGTGATTCAAGGAATTCTTTTATCCACATTCCAACTGAGAGAGGCACTTCTATGATAAGAGATGTCAATCTGATTTATACCAACTAAATATTAAATAATACTTGCTGTTGGTGTGATTAGTTTTCAAAATAGGCCTAATTTTTTTACATGAACAAACAACAGAATTAAAATGTTAATCAACATATATTCTCCTAGTATTATTATAATTTTCTGAAAGAGGGAATTTACTAACCAGAGTTGTATAAACTGAACTAAGACCCCTCACCTTTATAAATACATAAAACTCTTCAAAATTTTTATCACAGACATGTCAAACTTCAAAATTGAAATTATTAACAATGTTGTTAACATATAAAAATAGTCCTTTTTCTCAAGTTGGTTTTTCTAAAGTCAAATAAAATCCTTTACTGAAGATTGCTGTAAAGTCAGTCTGTAGGCTGGTGGCTGGGTGCTCAGGTATCCTCAGTGATGCAGAAGAATGCTGAAGTCATACCAGCTCTGTGGAAGCCTTTGCTGAGCAAGACATGTCTATGCAAGCAGCTCACATACCTAACACTGGGAGTGTAAGTGAATTAAACCTCTAGAAGCAGTAGTATCTAATGAAAAACTTGTTCATTTTGTGTTTGTGTGAATGAATGAACCTTAGGCAAACAATGCATAGAGTGAGGCATTTGAGCTTCATCTGTTTATTTAGGTTAGAAAGAAGGAAAGGTGTGCTGCAAAGGAGAATGTTAGGGTGTTTAAATATGTATATAATGAGTGAATTACGTTTCCCCGTGTATGAGGCACAGTGTGGCAAGTTGTCCAGGACACTCATCAGCATTCCCTGCAGGGAGTGTGCCTCTGTGCATGGAACAGGGAGCCTCTCCAGACTGTTAGCCAGCTTTAGATGGTTCCCACTGAGTAAACACACTAGGGGTGGCAGAGGGCTGTTTTGTTTCTGCTCAGAAGTCTGAATGATTTTATGTGACACAAGATGTCTCTGCTTGTTGAGAAGGCTTTAGAGATCCTAATTCAGCTGCTTATGACACCCAAAAAGTCATTGGAGCAGCTGTACCATTGGGAGGGGAATATCCTAGAATGTCCTTAGCTCAGATCACTGTGTTCAGAACTGAAGTCCAGTCCTTGTCATAGTTTATGACAGTCTGAGCACTGTTTGCAGTGTTGTGATTGTGAGAGGTGTATGCAGGACCTACCTGTGCTGGCACTTTTTGATACCTGGCTGTGGCCTTTCAGGTCTACTTGAGCACTGCTCTCTGTCAAGGGTAATCTTACAGTGACAGAGATATGGGTTTGTGATGAGATGGACATGTTAATCAGCCATTGAACCTTCGAATTTCTAAGTGTTTTTTCTTGGTGATTTCCTTTTCTTCAGAGGAAAGACTGCAAACAATAAGAAAATAAACTCTTCTTTCCAAAGAGAGCGAATAGATGTGCTGTGCTTAGAAGTTACAGCACTGTGTTTTGCATACAAACTGAAGTTTACAGAGTTAAATAACAAACTAAACCAGCATTAACATAGAACCAGAAAAAACAAAGAAAGGAGAAATGTTTTTCATCAGAAGGGCAGAGCTTGTTCCAAATAGTGGACATTGCAGAAAACAGCTGCTTAGCTCAACTTCGTTACTGCGAACTCACCTTGTCTCAGATTAGAGTGGGTCAAGATGTGAAAAGTAGGCCAAATAAATTCAGGTGGTCATAGTATGATTTACTGGGTTTCAGGAATGGGTCTGTATCTCTCTGCATTTACCCTTTCCTGCTTCACTGGCCTTGGAATATTCAGTCTGAGTTGGATGTTGTTTTCTTTACTTCTATAGGAAATCTTAACTGCTTTATGTGGACTTGTCCATCCTTTCAAGTATACACATCACTAATGTGCTCTAATATACTATGTTAAAAAACTGAGGCTGTTTAATTTAAACCACTGTAGGTGTGAATGAGAGGGGTTTGTATCTAAGAGTCCTACTACTTCTGATGGCAACAGTGTAACTCAAAAAAAGGCCAAGCCTAATGAGGGTTTTGCTGGATCAGCTCTTTCACCTACAGTTAACTCTCCAAAAGTAACACCATCATAAAATGTATCTTCAAAAGGTAGGGTAGATCCAGTGGTTTGGTTGGCAATCCATGCCTCTGTTCATGGAAAAAGCACTTCATTGTTTTTCGGTTGGTCACTGTTATTCATGCTGCTAAGGCAGTGTAAAAAGTAACTGTTCTTATGCCTTAAAATAAGAACAAACATTCTGTGCAAGGATTTACATACCTTTACAAATTAATATACCTGAGGTAATTGCCTATTCAAATTTTAGACCTCTATTGTTTAGTGGGTGTGTTTGAATTCTGTAGAGCAATTAGTCATCTGAAGATGGATGATAAGAATAAATGCCCCTGACCTCATTCTTTTAGTTCAGATTTTCTACATCAAAGGAGTGAGTAGGGAGTTGAAGCTTTAAAACAACCAACCAGAAAACAAAGATGAAAAGACTTCTATGACTGCTGAATTTATCAACTAGTTCTGGTCAGATAAAAGGAAGGGGAAAAAATCATTTTAGCAATGCCAGGCAAGGCATCAAGGACTCAGATTGTGGAATCTCCATCCTTGGAGATATTCAGAAGTTGCCTGGCCATGGCTCTAAGCATCTTGATAAGGTCTGATTTACTTTGAGTGGGAGGTTGCACAAAACCACCTCCAGATCCAACCTAAATTACTCTGTGGTTCTGTACTTTGACTATTACAAAGTGTGTTTTGCAGTTTCCCCTTTTTGTGCAGCAGTTTAAAATAGTAGTGGCAGGGGAGAAGGGAGATTTCAAAGAGAGGATGTTCCTGGAAAGATCTTTCCCTCCCTGCAAGAGGAGGTAGTGTAGCTGTTTTAGAGTATTTAATAATTGAGTGCATTTTTATTCTGAGCCGAAAGATGCTTTCTAGTGATTGTCATAGGCAAGGATTTATTCTTGACTCTTGATATTTCCAGGAAGTATTCTCTCCTGTAATGTTAAAATGAGGAGTTATCTACAGTATGATACTGATTGTTTGGAATCATTTCAGATTTGGGGTTTTTGCCTGTCTTGTTTGGAGCTGGTTTGCTATCAGGGCTCTTTCCCTCAATGTCTATAACTTGAATCTTAAAGCAAAAAAATTCCTCTACCCTGTTTTGGGTGACATAGATACTGTGCTGCAGCCTATAATATGCAAAGATAACCGAAGGATCTTGCTAAATGCAGTAACAAAGAAGATCCTGCTCACTGAGAACCTCATTTTGCTGAGTTTGTCTCTAAGCCCTCCCATGCTATCATAGCAGTTTCTACTCTGTCCCAGAACCCAGTGCTGAGGCACTGCAGAACACGAGGCTTTGCTGCAGAACCCGTTTTCTTCACCTCAGTTTTCCCTTGGCTGTGACGTGTCAAAATGTTTACAGACTGTGATAGTGCAGACTTGCAGCATGGTTTTGTGGGACATCTCTTGCATGGCCATCCACTCCTGTGAAGGAGTTGCTGCTTAATAATGATTCCTAGCAATACTGGTATTTTAAGGAAAAAAATTGCCTGCCTCATGGACTATGCAAGACTTAATTCTTTGTAAAAATGCATAGCACGGTTGCATGGTCATCTCTTAACTCATACACTCATTTCCTTCTTATAAGGTGGATGTATTTGTGTGTTTATTTTTATTGTTTTTTATCATAGCCCTGACAGGGACTTTGCTGTTGAGATGTTATATCTTCACATATTTTAAATTTTACAGGGACAAATGCATCGAGCACCATTAAAAATGGAGGACCTTTTCCACGAGCTTGTCCAAAGTGTAATATTCATTTCAATCTTATGGATCCCCTAAAAAATCATATGAAGGTAAAATATTTTGGGGCTGGGAAAGATTAGAACAAGCTCATGTGGGCTTCTGTTTGGTTGTACATGTGTGCCATATTTTGATACGAAGATCATTTAGCTTCTGTCTGGGATCAACCAGAGACAAATGCTCAAAGTCTTGCAGTCTGGAGAGGAAGACTGGAGTAGGGAACTCTAAATCCTGCTCCTTTTTGCCTCATTTTTCCAATGCAATGAAGGTAAGTGTCTATAATAGACAGCCAGATGACCCACATGTGTGTTAGGTCACTACTGACACAAAGATGACAGTGTAAACTCACCTTTTTATCTTGATGTGTCACTTGAAACATCAAGATAAAAATATGTGATACTTGACAGATAAAAAAATTTAAGCTGAGTGGAAGAATTTAATTTGTAGTTCATATTTAAACGCTGTGAGAAACAAAACTTTTAGAAACTGAGCATCACTATGTTGGATTATTAAACTACTTGTTTCTGGAAACACTGTTTCCTCAAAAATATTTATTATCATTTGTCAAAGATCTGTGCAATTCTCAGGCATACGTATTCCATTTCAGGGGGCAGATAAATGGCTTTGCACTCTATATACAATGTGAATATCCCCCACAAAAGAGCATGAACTACTGTGTAATAGAAATCTGTGAGGATCTGAGTTACTGTTACCACAGATGGTTCTGATTTACAGGGTCATGATACCCTGAATGGTAGTTGCTGTTCTCTTCAGCTCTGAAAGACAATTAAGAAATGTAGATAAGTGGGAAAAAAAACCCAAAGGTTTTATTTTTTTGTAATCATTATTTGTACAGAATAGCTTTTGCACTGAGTACGTCAGTGGAATGAAAGAACCATTGAAGAAGTGTGTGTACTTGGTATTATTTAGTTAAATTTTTAGTTGAACTATATGAAATAAATATACTGAGTTACATTTCCTTGGTAGGAAATTAACTAACTCCTTACTAGTAGGCTTACAGAAAGTAGTCCTGCACAATAAAAACCATTATTCAGCAGGAGAAGAATCTGTCCTCTGAAACATTCTGATTTTGTTCAGTGTTGGTAACTTCATAGTACCTTCTTTATAAAGTTCTTCAGACATTTTAAGTGTTAAGTTTCATAGTATCTCCATTTTGCCAAGCATTCCTTATGTATACTTTGACACAGAGAAGCTTGAACAATGTGTATTGTGTGACTGAGAATCTCTGAATTTTTTAGTAATGCTAGAAAGAACTTTGGCAGGTTTCAACATATGTTCTCCACTAAGAAATAAAAGGTAGAACTTTACATTAAGTTCTCAATAAATTTATGCTTATCAGCAAAATACTTGCATAAAAACTGCTTTTCTCTTGTTAATGAAGTAGAAATTTTTCTCATGAGCAAGGTAGCACTAGTGTTCTGGGTTTTTATTGACTTTGTCTTATATGAACCTATGAGAATCATCCTTTTCCAGTTTTTAATGTGTAGTGGTTTATTACTTGAACACTACATAAAGAGCAATTATAGTTTAAAATCATATGAAAATATGGCTAAGGCTGGTGTATCAGAGAACTGAGCTTTGCATCTAAGCCTGGTGAGTGCCTTCAGATTTTAAAATGCTGTTGTCATTGATGCAGTTTGGTAAGAGAGACTGACACCTTTGTCTCTTTCTGTCTCTTCTCCTCCCTGTTTGCCTCCAGTATTGTTGTCCAGATATGGTAAATAACTTTTTCCCAGCAACGATCAAAACAGAATGTTTGAGCACAACAAGTAAGATTGCTGAATCTGAGAAAGGAAAATTGATTATGTTAGTTAATGACTTTTATTATGGGAAGGATGAAGGTGACACCCAGCAGGTGCAACAGGAGCAGAAGACTCATACGACATTTAAGTGCATCAGTTGTCTCAAAGTTCTTAAAAATAACATAAGGTATTTGAACTCACTTCCTTAATTGTTTTTTAATCACAGCCCATAGCAGTTTCATGTGTTAAAAATTTGTGCCTCTGCAATAGAGTTCTCTTCTTTCTGAAGACTGATAAAACTGGATGACTGAAAAGAAACCGAATTAATTTTTTACTTTGCATGTGTGGCCATAACTTGGAACTTTTTACAGATTAGAGTACAAATTTTAGTGGTGCCTAACATAAACATGGAGATTTAATGAGAGCAGTTGTAGGACTTTGGGGTTAGAAGGGGCAACACAAAGCATTTTACAATTTGCCATCTGGATTGATGGTGATACCGGCGGATGCGAGTGTTAATTCCCTCCAGGGATGCACGGTGACTAATAGTCTGTGGTTTACTTATGTAACATCTGTTATTTTGATGGAATAATTTTACTTCCAAATGCTGAAAAAAAAACTTCAGTAAGCTGTTTTAGCAGGTAGACAAGTTTGTGTCATCGTTCCTTTGGAAGTTAAGGTCACTGAACTTTTTTTGCATGCATTCTTCAAAGGAAGCTGAAGTAGCAGAATGTAAAGCTGAAAAATGGACTATTGCTTCAAAGGGCACAGTCTGCAAGTTCAAATGAACAGGTTTATGCTAACATTAGACCATATTATTGAACAAAACACAAGTTCTGTGTAATTAAAATGATGAAATCTGCTATTAATCATTAAGTAGGCACTATTTTCTAATCAGCATTATATTGTAAGCTATTGGTGCTATGGTGCCTATGGGTTCCACAGCAAGTCATTAAAAACGTGTCATTAATTTCTTTAGAGTTGATTTTACATATTAATTTTTGCTGTAACTTTGTAGCTGTACTCCATACTTCTGTAACTTCTGAATTTTTATTCCAAGGTATATTTTGCGCTTTTAACTATTTCTAATGGACAAAATAAATACATGTACCTTTCCACTTTAAGTGTAAGTTTTTTGGACCTTAATTCAGAAAACCAAAAGTGATTCCTCATTCCTCAGTCCCCTGCTTCCTTTAAAAGATCTATGGTTGACCATAGCATTGCAATACTTGGCTGTTAAGGTAATATGCAGTAACAGTGCCAATTCCTTTTGTCTGGTTAGGTACCTGCATAGCTTCAATTGGCTTTTTTTTTTTAATTTCTTATTCCTTTTTTTTTAACTAGCTGCTTGCTATTAGAAACTTGAGCTCAAGAAACTGTTCTCCTTGCTCATTTGTTTCATCCAGTACCAAGGTCCACATTCCTTTTGTGAGTGTGACCTACATTTAAAAGCTCCTCTGGCTGTATGAGATGAAGCACATTGAAAATAGAAGAGTTTTGGAGGTTTATCAGTAGAGGCTCGTGCAGCAAACCTGTCCTCGTGCTGCTCCCCCAGTAAGGGTGACCTGCTGTGCTAGGATAGGTTCCTGACCAGCCAGGATAGGTTCCAACTCTAGGCAGGTGGACAAATTAATGAGGAAGAGGTGCTAATTTGAAGCAGTAACATACCAGTTTCTCCTACCCTTTTGACATGACCTGCACAGTGGCATTCTTTGATAACTGTCCTTCATAATTCAAGTTCAGTCCTAAATACTTTAGACAAAAAGGCTCCTGGAGCCCTGCCAGGCTTGAATGGGTGTGGTTTCACATAAAGCTGTCATGTCCAAGTTGCAGATGCATTCTTGCTACTTAATAGTTTTTAGCATAGCTGAAGTAATACTCGTTTCAAAATGTGGCTTTGAGACTGGTGATGGTGAATGAAGTGTCAACAGCTGACAGGTTGGGTTCTTGTTGTCTTAATTCCCTTTATTTCAAGGCAAAAATTCTGTCTGAGTAAACATGAAAAATGTAATAGATTGTTTTGTCTCAGAACATGTTTCACATATGTTGTACGTTCTTTAAAGTCAACATTTCTAGTCAGCTTTGCCCTTTCTCAGTAAAGTTCCTAAAGAATCCTGTACATCTTGCATGTGGTATGTCATGTATAGCAAATGTTAAAATGTTTGTTTTTGCACCTGTTCACTGTAATTTAAAGGTTTATGAACCATATGAAACATCACCTAGAGCTCGAGAAGCAGAGCAATGAAAGTTGGGAAAGCCACACCACCTGCCAGCACTGTTACCGGCAGTTCCCCACCCCGTTCCAGCTGCAGTGCCACATTGAGAGCACACACACGCCTTACGAGTCATCCAGTAAGTTGGATCAGAGCCCACTGAGTTTTTCCTAAGCCACAATTTTTAGGAATTTTCTGACTTTTACTTCTCTGGTTTGTAAGTTCAGAATAAAGCTGTTGTACTTAACGAACAGTAATCTTGAGATTTAATGTAGGAGCTGAGCACTCATGCAGTTGGTTTTTTTAGGCCAGTGTGTGTAAAAGCTTTTTGGTTTTTTTCCTTTTTTTTTTTTTTTTTCCCTTTTTTTTTTTTTTTTTTTTTTTTTTTTTTTTTTTTTTTTTTTTTTTTTTTTTTTTTAAATTGAAAGCTTTACTACCAGAACTCGTGCTGTTTATGACTCTTGCCCTCTTGGCTTTCTGAAACTGTACAGGGAATTTCTTCTAAAGAGTAGAATAATGTTAGATTGCTTTACCTTTAGAAATATATACAGTTCACATATACATATGTGTCACAACTTACCTATTTATGACCCCAATCAAATTTTGACTTTTTATCTTGTTTTTCACTTTTTCTAGCCATTTGTAAAATCTGTGAACTGTCCTTTGAAACAGAGCAAGTTCTTTTGCAACATATGAAGGACAATCACAAGCCAGGTGAAATGCCATATGTTTGCCAGGTACCTAAGTGACCGTTTCCTATTTAGATTACACCACCCTCCTGTCTTCCCTGTCAAAAAACTTTTGACAAAAAACTCAACCTTTTTATTTTAGGTGTGCAGCTACAGATCCTCAGCTTTTTCAGATGTAGAAACGCATTTTAGAACAGTTCACGAAAACACAAAACATTTGCTATGCCCATTTTGCCTCAAAGTAATTAAAATTGGAGCACCATATATGCATCATTACATGAGGCATCAGGTAAGCAGATAATTTCAATCCTTAATGCTAGAAAATATGCTAAATAAATGTAAGGAATCTCCCTTTGAAAAATGAACCTCAACTGATTTGTATGATTGTTACATTTGTATGATTTGTATGATTGTCATGTTCTCGTGTGGCAGCATCTCCCTATTTAAAAAAAAAAATCTTTGAATATCCTGAAAAGAATCTTTTTGCTATTTGGGTTCTTTATTACATTATAATGATGTGTTCTGCTGTTCTTGGGGTTACTAGCAAACCTTTCACTAGTTAAATAAAGAGAAAGATAATGAAGGACTGTGTCTTCTTGTAACTGGAGTCCAATTCCTCCTCCTCTTACTAATCATGCTGCCTTGCTTTTTCAAGCATTTAAATATCCTCTCTAATTCCTACTCAGTGTCTTGTCTTTGTACAGGATTAAAAGTTTGTTCAGCTGAAGTTTTAAAAAGAGGATGAGCATTGCTTGAGACAAGCTGGTGCCAGGGATTTGTTTATCATGCCATCCGTGCTGACTCTAGATTGTCTTTTATTTCTCAAAGAAAAAGGGAGTGTACCGCTGCACTAAGTGCAGGCTGCAGTTTTTAACGTGCAAAGAGAAAATGGATCACAAGACTCAGCATCACCGAACGTTTAGGAAACCCAAACAGCTAGAGGGCTTGCCTCCTGGGACAAAGGTGAGTGTCCATACAGGAGAATTTGAGGGGACAAAGAAATAAAAAACATCTTGGCAGAGGAAAGGCTGGAATAGAAAGAAGTGCTTTTCTCTTTTCTTTAACAAAACCGAGTGTTTGGGATTGTTTTTGGGTTGTTTTTTTTCCCTCACCTCCAAAACTAAAACTCTAAAAAATACTCCTGTTGCAAGAACTACCAGGCACAACTTACGGTTTCTTCTTGGTGATTCCTGGCGTTGCTTTTTGTCCCATTGTTCCATACATGTATTTGGCAGAGGTCCAGTTAGAGCTGCAACTTTCTTGAGCTGTTGCCTGCCATTTCTCCTTTCTTGTGCTAGGAGATGCTTCTGCATCATTTCTAGTGAAAGATTTTTGACCTGTGGAAAGGTGTTGGCAAAAAATGTGAGACCTGCTTCTCCATAGGCAATATGTGCTCACAGCTGAGTTCCCCACGTCTTCTTAGCTTCAGCATTTGAAGGGGTTGGGGGAAAACTTGGGTCCCCTCAGTACACTTAGGCCATCTTTAAATCATTCTTTGATTTCCTAAGAAGAAACTACTTAAGACTAGGATTTTCTTGTAGATTTTGAGAGTTTTTCCTGCAGTGTTTTAATGAGATGTTGAAATAGATGTCCTTTCAGTTGCAAGGAAGAAGAAAATTTACATTTTGATCAGCTCTTCATAGTTCATTTGCTGTAGAGGCAGGAAGGGGAAAATGACTGCAGTTGATGTTGATTGTGTTGCTTGGCAGAATGAATGTGAAGCACTGATTCTGTACTCTGTGACAAAGCCTCAATTTTCTGAAGATTTCAGAGCGTTCCTGATGTAGCAAAAGCTTAGGTTACATTAAAATGTTGGGTTTAGACCTTTGCTGGATGCACATGATGAGTCTGAGGAGCCTGGGAACAGGGTTAGAAGATGAGTGTGGGCAAGTACAATTGGGAGTGAAAACCAAATTTAAGGGCAAGACAGGGGAGTTTTGATAATGCCAGAGGAGAGGTCAGAAGCCAGAATTAGTTCTTGGCGTTCTAGGATGAGGAGCAAAAATACCTGAAGGAGGTAGAGTGCCTAATCCTGAGGCAGCAAGACACAGGAGTTTTGTTAAATCCAGGCACTGATGGGATTGCTTGGGATTCTTCTTAGAGGGCTCATTGGCCTGACCCTTCTGCTACATTTTTTTTGTTTAAAGAAAGCAGGATGTAGCCAGTTGCAGGTCTGAAAAGAAAGCAGTGTGTTTTTGTCAAGGCTGTTTCCACCAAAATGAGCTTTTTAAGCATCCAGGAGGCTATGGAGGTTACCTCCAGTCCAAAAATATTCTCAATGTTTTGTGTTTCTCAAAGTAATCTTTACTCAGCAGAGTTTCTTATGCTGTGATTTGTGGTCTTAAGTGTATTAAGCTTTGACACAGATAGAAATGGGAACTTAAATCCAATTTTTTTTTTTATTTCATACTTGCAGGTGACTATTCGAGCATCTCTAGGATCTCATCAGTCAGGATCATCAGCTACATCTTCTGTCAGTACAAGCAGTTCCACGTTTCAGTTATCACCTAAAACTAAAGCCACAACCACTAAAAATCATAGCAAATCTAATTCAAATAAATCCAGAGGAAAATCAAAACAAACTACATCAAAGAAACAAAATGCATGGACCAACAGCAAAAAAAAAAAGGAAGTTACAAATATAACATTTCATCATTTAAGGTATCTTTATTAAATTTTTATTAAAATTATCTTTAAATATACTTTCAATATAAATTATCGTTTAATTGTCCTTTGATAACTTCCAGTACTGTAATACAGAACATCTGACACCTCGGGTGTGCAGAAAAAGCAGGTGCATAAACTTTCCACATACTGGCACTGGGATTATAATTCAGTGTCTTCATTCCCCAGTTTTAGTAGGGGCAGATGACTTTGTTATGGAAACTTCTCTATGCTACATTTAGAATTTTTCTCTGCTCAGAGCCATAGACTCTTAAAATACTGACTCATTAGGCAGATTGATGTTTAAAAGTGACCTGTGAAGGGGAATACATCTGCCTGGGTGTTCTCTGGAAGTTTTCTTATGGAGTACTTGTTAGTTAAAAGATTAAATCCTGTCTGTCCTAGGAGATAACTTATTTTGGGGACCTAATAAAAAAATAATCAAGAAAGTAAGGCAGCATTCTCCCAGTAGCTTGTTTTTCTCTTTGCAGTTTCGGGGGGTTTGCTATCCTTATGTTAATAATTTCGTGGGTGTTTCATGGCCAGAATATAATTTCACTGGCTAAGATAAGTTAGCAGTTTTCTTTGTCAAAGGTGTTGCTGACTTTCCCTTTTAAAGTGTGTAGCTTTAGGAGACATCTAAAAACAGCCAGGAAAATTGGGGAAGAGCAGGATTACATTCTTGCTTTGTAGATATTTCAAAGCTTGTGGGGAATATTGGAGTGTGCAAGTTTTGTGTGCAAGTGTAAGCTCTAAGTATTTAGGTGGTACTTTTTTAAGTACCTCGTTTTTCCCTAATATAGACAAGCTTGAAGCAAAAAGTTTGAAATAGTTTGTCATCCCACAGTGTTGCTCTTCACTGTTAACTCTTCCGTGTCCCTGTCAGGTGTCGCTCGGGGCATCACAAGTGCATTGAGTGTTACTCAGAAGTCAAGGATTTCGCCAGCCATTTCCCTGCCTACGTCCACTGCAGTTTGTGCAGATACGGCACCAGCTGTAGCAAGGCCTATGTGAACCACATGATGAAGTAAGAACTCGGCACAGTTTTGACTGGCTTAGCAAATACTCCCTAAATTCATGTAAGATGGGGCTAAGTGTTGGTTTGCTGAGTTTGGAACTGGCGCATCAGAATGGCAGGGATCTGCGTAAGGTTGGATTTTTTGCTTTGTGATGAAGGCCTAAACCCCATGTTCTTGTTTTGCCTTAAAAATGCAGTGGTTCAGGCAGTGTTTTGTCTTTGCTTCAGAGTTTCTGTGGGATCTTCTATAATCACTTCAGGCTGAGTTAGGAAAAATGACTGATTATTGTGCATTCTCCAGGTTTCAGATTGAAGGCTCCTCTGATTTTACAAGTGCTGAATGCATACAGAGCACAACTATTGCTAGTGAAATCTGTGCTCAGATGCAAAGGATGTCTCAAATAGCATACTCAAGTGGATACTTTTTGCTTCTATAACTTCTGGTCATCCACAGAAATAACATCTCATTTTGCAGGAGCTTTATCACTGATGGTGCAGCAGCGTAGGGTATTGGTGATGACAGCTGTAAAAAAGCCTGTTAAGAAAACAAATGCATTAGTTTTCAGAGCCATAGAATTCAACTATGGAATAATTAGACACAGACCACATAGCATTGACAGTAAAACAAAGTTTTGAAAACCTTCTTGTTAATCCTGTGCCCTGAACAAGCCAAGTGTATTGTGGAAAAATCCTGAATGCAGCTGTCTTCCTAAAGACATGTGTGTATAAAACTCCTTGGCATTTGTGAGTGCTTGATTTCTTGGATCTGTGACCTAAGTCATACTGATTTCAGTGCTCATCTAAGTCCTAGGCTGCAACATTTACATGCTTTAATGCATATAATCTATTGTTTGAGATCTCAAAAAGCTAAGATTATTGTGTTTAATGCCAGTGGTACGAGAAAAAGTTTACTTTGGAAGGGGAAAGAGAATTCTAAGGCAAACTGTTCCTGTTGTGGCCGCTGTCCTGGGTGTTTGGTCAAATTCAACTATGCATTAAAAATAACCAGTCTTTTGTCCCTTGTGCTCTTCTGCTTCCATCCTGTGCAGCAGCTATCCCAGCTCTTGGTGAGTGTAGGGAAGAAGGGATGGTGAGGAGGAAATCTGGAGGGTGTTTCTGCAGTAGCAGCCCCTGTGCTGAGCTGCCTGACTGTGATTTACTGGGGAGAGAACAGTGTTGGCACATACCTGACCTGCATAAGGGACAACTTCCAAGTTGTCTAAAAACTGCATTTCCCATGTAGGGCCATCTCTTTAGGAAGCGCAAGTTTGGCAAAGCTTCACTTTTTTGTGGTGCACTCTGTGGCTGCAGCTATGGCTCTTCAGGAGCTAAACTGCTGATGGAAGCAGTAACTGTTCTTGCAGGACTGTGCCAATAAAATTAAACCTTTCCTCTCCCAAACTCATTGCTTACTCGAGAGACATTGTTTTAAACTAGAGCTGAGATTCACAAGCCTGGAAGCTTTAGGGATGTAATGTTTAGGAATCATGCAGGGCAGTAAATCAGCCTTCTGTTTTCGTGCCTTGCCATAAGCAAATTGCAGGACCGTGGGTAGTGTAGGGGATATGAGGAGTGATGTGTTCAAGCAAACCAGTTGAAGTGGTAATGTTGTCATGTATTTAGTTTTCACAGTGCTCGTCCCAGTAAAAGATTTTGGATCTATAAGAAGCAATCAGAAGATCTACGGTAATGCAGCTTTTTTCAGTTACAGATCATTGTGTGTTTACTTCCTGATGTTCATTGATAATTGAGATTAGAGGCTCTTGGAATTTCTAGGTTTCCACAATTGAGAAAGATCAGAGAAAATAAAAGTTCCCATAGCAGTGTTCTGGTCAGTGACAAATATGTACTGTTTGTCAACATTATTATTTTTTTCTTAACTCTGAGAAGTTTTTAATAGTATTTCTATTTCTTTATTTTTCCATTATTCATAAGATGCAAAATGGGGAGGGGGTGAGGGAAAATAAAAAACTACCATATAAACAGAACTCATCAAAACAGAGAAACTCATGCTTTACAGATAAATTTCTGTCTAAAGTCATGTTCTTTGTACTACATCCAGCATGGAGATGCCCTGGTCATTGGTGGGGATTTCCTGATACTAGTTGCAGTAGAAAAAGTAAGAATATGTTTTTATGTGAATAATCAAGTTGAATGAATTTTTTTTATGGTCTGTCCAGTTGCTGTAAGTTAAGAAAACTGTTTTGACAGCCACATTGTATTTATACTTCCTTTTTGTTTTTTCTTTTCCAGAGGCTTGACTGTGGTGTGTCTTAACTGTGATTTCCTGGCTGATGTTTCTGGCTTAGATAGCATGGCCACACATCTGAGTGAGAGCCACACTCATACTTGTCAAGTTATTATAGAGAAAGGTGAGTACATACAGTCTCTTTTTTATATAGTATAGGAATACTTGATGTGGATGTGTCTGTTATTGCAGTCCTGGTTTTAGTTGCATTATTTCTGTGTACTTGGATTTGACAATGAGTACTTCTGTATTTCCACATTTTAAAATAATTGTAATTAAATCCTTTGTTTTTATTTTCAGTTTCTGTAGATATCCCAACTGCTGCACAAGTATCTGAGTAAGTTTTATTTTACTGCTTAATGTTTTTTTTCTATTAATTTAGAGATAGATGGCCAAAGTTTACTCTCTGAACTTGGGTTTCTTTTGAATTTCATAGAATTTGAAATGCATGGATGAACTCAGGCCTTTACTTTACTAGTGCTTTTTGCTCTTACCATGTCCACACTTACAAAGAAGGAAGAGATAAAAGGATTACCTCTTGCAGCCAAAATCAAAACCAGCTTTTTGTTCAGTTTGGAGAGGCATAAATAATTCTTGAAGTGTTGGAACTTCTCAATCCTGACCTCTGAGTCTAGACACAGTGAGACTGTTTCTGCAGTTTACTTCAATATTAGCTTTATTAAATGAGCATTTTGTGTTCTTTATGTAATACTAATACAAATACCAAAAGAAATGTCCTTTACTGAAGGAGGACAAATTCAGTCTTAATATTTTATAAAGATTTAGAAATTATTTTCAAAATTGCGTTCTTTATATGACAAAAGTATACTGATTTGTATTAACTTTTTAAATTCTGACTTTCAAAGAAAAATTAGTATTAATTAGTCAGAATTTCTTAAGGATTTGAAAAAGAACCTGCAGTATTGTGGGGATCATGTTATGGGGGGAGGGGGGGTTAAACCTTGGAAAAATCAGATGTGCCAAGTCATCCCTAATTATTCTGGAGCAGTTTCCAAAGCTTTACAATGTAGTTTGTGTCTGCTTATGCCTTAATTGAAAGTTCAGAGTTCTGTCAGTTAAATCAAGCATTCATGTTTTCTTCAACCCATTTCAGAACATAGAAATAAAAATGTCAATTCCACTGCAAAGAAAGATATTTCAAAAGATGGAAGAAAATGGTTTAAGCCTTAGTGAGTCCATCTAGCTTATGGCAGGATTCTAAAAGGGGTTTAGATAGTCTCAAGCATGGTGAGAACTCTTCCAACAGAGCGAGAAGTTCTTAGGCCTCTAAGTATAAATCAGCTTTCACTGAGTATTGGAAATATCCCAAATAGATTAGTAGTATTTTCTTCTTAATTTCCATAAAGTGGCTAGTAAGAGTTTAAGTCCTTTAATAGTTTAGCTTCCAGTGAAACTCAAAGTGTAGAGCTATGATGGCTGTGAAGACTTTAACTCTTCTACTTGGAGATGGCATTAGGTGTTTGGGATTAATACTGGCTGAAATAGATGTAAGGAAAGGTTATAGATTGTTGAATGGTGGCTGAAGATGTCCAGCTGTGGTAGGCTGTTAGTACTGCAAAAGGATCTTTGTCTTGAATACCTTACAGAGATATATGGAAATATTTAAGAATTGTGGATATACAGTGTGTATCAGAAACAGATGGGTGAGCACCGAAAAGATTTGAAATAAAGTCAAGAATATGTGCAGGTTTGTTTCTGCAATCTGTTAGATTGGGACAGATGCAGATAGCCATTATTTTTGCAAACTCTAATCTTCACATAAGATTATTTACTGGTACTACATGAAGTGATATAAAATCTGTGATGGTGCTTTTGGAAACTGTCATGCTCACAGAACTGGTTAATTTCTGTAAATCTTGTCCTGTTCAATGTACTAATTCTCTGATACTTTGGACAAGAATATACCATTGCTAAACCCAAGAGCATGAGTGTTCCTGTGTGGCATATTTTTTAATTCATTATTTTCAGTACAGAGTACATATAAAAACATTCATCTTTTTGTGGGATGGTTCTTAACAGTACTCTGGGGTTTGCTTTGGAAGAAGAGGAACTTACAGACAGGATTCATAACTCTTGCTGTGTAGTTTCTCAGTGATCTGTGTTTCTTCCCATTCTTTGACCTATAATTCAGTGAGGTATGACTTGTTTATGGGGCTCTTCAGAATCGCTTCATCGTCTGAAACAATGACAGTTACAATCTTGAACACTTTTGGATCTTCTCTTGCAACTCTCAAATGGTATCTTTTGGTGTCTTTTATTATGTATCAGATGGTCTATATGTGTTGTAAAACTCATCTTTATTGCTAATGACCAGACATGTTCCATGAGCTCTGTTACTGAGACTCTCTTTGGACCAGAATCCTGCCATTAGTAATACAGATAATCTAGCTGGGGACGTTCCAGCAGAAATTGCTTTTTAAATTTTTACCTAAAATCACCTTGTTTATTTGGTGACCCACCTTGTGCTGAGGGAATAAGGCTTGATAACTATGCCAGTACTCTTCTAATGCTCAACTCTGCTTTGCGCAACATTAACATATTTTTAAATGAACTGACAGAAGACATTTTTGTTGCAGGGGATTTGAAAGTGAGCAGGTATCCTATACTGCCTTGGCTCACTGATACATCATTGTGGACCAGAAAATTGAACCCTGTCCAGCTTGGGATTATTTTGGTATGTAAGCAAACAAGGATCTGACCAGACCTTTTTGTTTTCCTTCATGCATTGAGGCTGTGGTGTTCTCTTCTTGCACCTTACAGACAACAGGTCTGGTCTTTTCTTCCAGTGTTGTAGTCTGGCAAAGGCCCTTCTGTGATGATGTTCTCTGCTTTGCAGCACCGACTGGCAGCTTTTTGGGGGCTGTACCTCTTTGAAGAGAGGCTTATCAGGAGTTTCACTCACATGGTGCAGTGTTTCTTTGCTGCTCGTTTGCAGTGTTTCTTCCCTGCTCCAGTCTATCAGTATCATCCCAAGCTGGAGCAGTGTGTAAATGGTGACGTATATGGGTTGACATCAAACCCCATTTTGTTCTGAACTTGATCCCAGCTTCTGAAACTAAAGGGATTTGTGATTCTTTTTGGGTGTTCACTAAAACATACAAGTCCTGGTCTATTTTAATATTCAAGTATTTGTCTGCTAGTGACTTTATGATGCATAGTGGCGAAATATGCTTTGGATGACTTCTGTGGCATGTAACTACATAAACCAGATCTTGGCCAAAGGAATTTATTAGCTGCTTTGCTCTCTGGTAGCTTCTTTTTGCTCCTAAATACTGTGGGAGGAAGAAAGCATGTAATGGAAATAGATACATTTATTGAGCCTTGATTCTGAGGGTGGAGCAGCTACAGTTCCAGTTCATTCTCACCTTGTTCTTTTGGTATCATCTCTCATCTTCAAGGATGCTCTACTCAAGCTGCTGAGACATCTGCTTTTGATTTCACTGCTTATGACTTCATCTTCAATTCTAGATTATCTATGGCAAGTTGATCCATCAGCAGGTTATCTGGATATGTGATGAGCTTTCCTTTTGCCATGATGAACATCTAACGTTCCTCCAAACTCAACCTCCTGCTTACAGCGGACATGTCTTGGTTGGATCTCTCATTTACTAGCCTCCAAGCAACCTAAGATATAAAGAGATAAAGCTACTCTTGCTCTGAGATCAGTCACCATGATAACCTCCTAGTTATGAGCCATTATTTTTGGTGAATGCAAGCTGTTCTTGATTTGCAGCATTTTCTACATAATCAAGTTTCCTGAGATTAATTCATTGTTACCGGTATTTTTGTGCTCTTCACTTTTAGTGCTCAAACAAGTCACAGTTTTGGTGATAGTGAGCTTCTGCAGCCATTGTGGTTTTGCTAAGAATGGCAAGGATCCTGTCATCCATTGTCTCTTATGCGTATTTTGTGATTCAGCATCTGCACGTTTACTCAGTACTGTGAAGCCTCATTCCTTTTGCTACTTTTTTTCCTTCTGACAGAAGCTGTGTTCCATCTTGAATGCTGCTGTTCAGCTTCAAGCATCACTTACCTACCACAGGTTTTTCTTGCAGGACTTATTTCTGTTTTGACACAGCAGCATTCAAACAAGCATAGTGGGTTTGTGTTTCCATTGTGAATGTGCTGTTGCATTTCAGAGGTAGTTGAATCTGTGGTGTTTCACTTTCATTCAGGTTTCCAGCAACAACAAAAATGGAATGTGTTTGCAGGTTTTTGTGGCTTTCAGAAGAATTCTCTCAGAATTTCCCAGAAATTACTCTGGATAGACACTTGGATTTGGAGTTACGTGAATTAAACATCTTTTGAATGCTCATTTTGAACATTATCCTGTGGTTCTTTTGCAGCTTTGCTACAGAAATTTAAGTTTCAGACTCCCATTTAAAACACTTGCAATCTACATACAGATTTGATAGCTCTGTGGAAGTAGTTCCTGTAGAATCAGTTGGCATTGTGGCATCCTGTTCCCATATGTGTGAGGATCTCGGAAAAGTTGGTCATGTGGAAAACTCATAACGTAAAACCGCCCCTAAACCATGCAAGTAAAACCTGCCTGAGTATTAAACCTGTCCTATGGTCCCAACCACCTACATGAATAATGCAACATGTTGGGCCACATCTGCAGGGGCAGAGCAGGAATGTGTGTGGGGTAACCAATTCAGCTTAGGGTCAGAGAATTACAACTTCATTTGTACCTTAACCTGTCTCTCTTCTGTTATTTTTAGGATGTTGAGAGTCACTGCTTGATTAGCCAATTATGCCTTAGCTGTTTTTTGGGAAACCTTTTCCACAAAGTAAATGTTTGTTTCTGTTATTCTGTTAAATGTAACTGTGAGCTTTGTGGGCAGTGACACTTCACTGCTCATGATACTAATAGGTTACTGTGTCCTGTCTTCATTGCTAACCCCATTTTACAGGTGAGAAACTGTATATAACATTAATAACATTAAATGACATTAATGTCACCATCTTTCCTTTCTCCTTCAGTTGTCAACAGTGTAAAACACCTTAGCATAGAAACAGCTTTTTCTTCTCTCTAGCTGTGCATTCAGGTGTACCTTTCCAGGAAATGCTCATACAGTCAGATACTTGGGGGAGAATTGTGCTTCAAGAATCATAAACTCTACTTAGAATTGCATCTTTCGAAGTACGGAATTTCTGTTAAAAGGTGGGATTGATTTTTTTTTAAAAAAGCAACCCCCGAAAAACCCAAACCCAGTGACCTGTCCATATATTTATAGTGCTGGGTATGGTTCAGTTGAGTGGCTGGAAGGTACCTTGAGCCACTTACATAACAAAAAGTTGTTTTCTAGAAAT